TGACAGTAAAATCAAAGCCTAATGTTTAAAAAAAAGAAAGAACAAGTAACAAGTGAATAATTGATCCTTGCCGATGTGGCTTTTCTCCAGGTACATGCATGATGGGTTAAGTGGTGACTCTAAACTTGGCTGTAGTTGTCAGTGTAAGCACGGTGCATGCTAAATGCCAACAATCAATACCTGCAAGGCCTCGTTAAACTCACCCTTTAACGATGTGACCGGAGCAATTAACTTTATCCGCTTTCTGACCTGAGCAGTACGGACAAAGTCATGCAGATTTAAAATTTTCTTTCACAGCACAACATGCTGAGGTCTGGGTCATCATGTCCCCAACGGAGGTGCAGTTATAAAACACTGAGAGATGAGAAAGAAGACACTAATTTGAATAACCGCCTGTTTATTTGGGGCTATCGGAGGGGTTGGGTTGATTTTTACTGTTGCACCATTTGTGACGTCCAAGTTTGGGTTCTAAAATTCTGAATTTTACTGAACTTGAGTCATCTCAATGTACTTCTAAAGAACTTACCCACCCAGCAAAAAAAAAAAAAAAGGTTGAAAAGACATTGGAAAGACGTCTTTGCCATACGTCTAAATGACGTCACAATTTGGTTAAAAAGTGAAAGGTGAAAAGCCGCCTTTGTCAGGTCGTCGAAAAGACGTCTATTAAGACGTCTCTTTATCACCTTGTGTTGCATTATGGGTACTGTAGTTCCTCAGTGTTCATTACAAGTGTGGCAAGTTGTAGTGGTCTACTACACAATATGCAAAGAAAGGAAAACTTTAGCTTAATATTTCTGTTATCTGACTTGCTTGGATAGAGATAGCTAGTTAGCTATGGGACCAAAAACAACCCAATTTCTACAACTGTATTTGGGCTAAATTTGGACCAAATTGGACAGCACAAAAACAGCACAATTTCAACGACTATATTTGGGCTAAATCTAGGTTATGATAGACCGACCAGATTTAGCCCAAAAAATGTCTAAATTACGCCGGGTGTTTGGGGGGTACAGCGTCATATTATAGAGAGGAACCCAACCACTCCAATCATTCCCATGAAACAAGCACCTAAAACCTTACACTTGCAGTTTCAAGCAAACCAAATGAGGCCTGTTGGTTTGCAGGTTGTACTTCAAATTTAGCAGCTCATACGGCGTGTTCCTAAATCTGTTCCTAACAATCAAACATTGGGCTTTTGAGCAAACACTGATTTCAAATGCAACATTGCAGTCTGCTGCTTTTCAAGATAGTGATTTGGCAGAAACTCTTTTCCCAACACATTCACAGAGCGTCCAGTCTGGAGCTGGTTTTCCTACGTTTCCGTTTGTCCATCTATCAAGACATTACACATATGATTGTCTGTTTTCTTTCTGTTTGTCTTAATCTGTCTATTTCACACCATTTCTTTGGAGCTATGTCTATTCCAACTCCAGGTAGCCCAGGCCAGCTTGACCACTGTTGAGGCCGGTGCGTCGAACCCAACCCAGGAAAGAAGAAACACACACTGATCAACAGCAGCAGTTATGAAA